CCCTGCTAGCTGAACTAAGCACTTTTCTCTATTAATTCCTGTTAAAAAGCATGGGAGTCAAGGCTTTGCTTTTTATTGTTGAATTCATGGTGAAAATAAACAAGGAAAGAGATTAGTGCAGAATAGTAATGTTATCTTTTGGTTGCATCAGATCTTACTAGCACACACTGCCTCAAAGATAAGGAATTTCAGTTTAGCATGTTACAAACATATAAATTGAAGCTACTTCCTTGCTGAAGGAAGAAGTAAAATGGAAAGAAAATATTGATTCAGTTTGACAATTTGTAGGAAAACAAGCTGTCAATGGAAAGTGTGAGAGTCTAAGCTACCCAGAGAGGGAAAAAATATTTTTGAAGCTGAATTTAAAGGAAAGACATCTTGGAACTTGTAATATATCATGTCTATGTGATACACATTCTTCCAGATTTCCATTTCAAGATAGTCAATAAATCTCTTCCCTCTGAAAACATTTGGATATGCTAATTGGAAACGATCAAGTTTCTTTCTATAATATATATAAATGAACTATCTGAATATGTATAAACCATATTAACACCATATATTTTATGTTCTTCGTCTTGGCATATTAATAAATACTGTGTATGATCACTTATTCGTTTGAATATCCGAAATTGCAAAAATCTGTAGACACTTATTCACTAATTTTGGATGTGTATAATTGTTTTGTGACTTGGTAAGTATATGTCTAATTTCAGAAAAGCAGAGTTTGTGCAAATAGTTCGACGTCTAAGCTTTAGTTCTCGACAGCAACCACAAAATACAAGGGAGCGGCGATGCACAAATATGGACGATGGGAAGCTTATTTTTTCCACTTTCTCAGTGCAACAAAAGGGAGACAATTACTAATTTTGAAGTGACCACATATGAAGGGAAATTTAAGCGGTTTCATATGTTCAAAAATTGTCGGGGTTCAATGATGATTTACTGATCGACTATTATAAGTTCCTTACGAGAAAAGAGCAAGACATTCCTCAAATTGTATGAGATATTAAGAACACTTTGGTTAATCAAACACTGTGTTGTGTTTGACAGTGTTGGATAAATAATGTTATAATATGTTTTACTCCCTTCCTTTTGCTCTTTTTCGTCTAAATGATCTATAACCCCCTTTAGTTATTAAAGCTTAATGGCATTAAAGTGCTATCATTTCCTGTTTGTTAAGAAAGTTTTGCTTCTTCAACAGTAAAAATTGTCATAACAGGCTGCTGTACTATTTTGGATATTAATCAAAATGACATTATCATTTTTGTTTCACCTGTAGCATACAGTTCAAGGAACTCTTTGTTACGTCTTTTTCGTTTTACGTTATGCGCAATCTGACAAAATCTGCTTTGCTCAAAAATAGCATTTGGCAAGCTTGGGTGTAACAAGATACACGACAACTAACGGACCATATAGCAGACAACTAACGGACCATATTCACGCTTTGCTGCATGGAAGAAAGCATCGAAATCTCCAGTTGGTATAATATCCAGTAGCGAATCTGAGAAATTCTTCAACAGTGGATTTAAGGAATAAACACAGTCCATGTTTTCCGAAAATTCTGTCTCACGCATATCCCCCATGATCTCCCACTCCCACACAACATTCCTCACATCCCAACCATATCCTTCACGCCCCCTTCCCAATCATCCCCACTTTCCCACTATAATAATCTCATCATCTATCTTCTATCTATATAAAGAACACAAATATAGAGGGGTCAGACGAAGAAAATATTAGAGAATAACGAAAAAGAGAGATTTGTCCCATAATATTAGGTAACAATTATCTTTGCAAAGCCTTCTCAATTTGACTACACCATACTTCTCTATTTTACTACAGTATAGTGTATACAAATACTTTTTTAACAAGCCTCTATCATCAACAAAATTCTGTTCAATAGACGGCTGTACAACTTATGACAACTACACCAGTTACGACTGAATTTAACATGGAAGAAGAGAAGAAACAAGGCAGAAAAAATCGAATGGATATACAAAAGCAGAAACAGTCTAAATTTTCTCCCGATAACAACGGTATGAACTTTAATCCACTGTTTACAGATTTGCGATTTGCATAATTGTTGCTTACAGAGGGTCTCTTTGTTCAATGCTTAAAAATACTCTATATTTCCTACTTTGTTTATTTTTCTCTGATTTTCCTTGGGCTAATTAACAAACCTCATTCTTTATTACAAGTGGAATGGCCATAGAGTGGAAGGAAAAGTTAGAATTAGCAGAAGAGTAATGGCAGTTGTAAATGCAGCGTCGACGTCGATATTATAAAATTTAAAACAATCAAGCTTTTAACAGAATTCTCTTTTGTTATGTAGTGGTGAAGCAGCCTAGGAATGTACTTTTTTTTACGCAGTTGAATATAGTTTATAACGGTTCAGTTGCTGTGATATTTGCTATGCAGTTGCTCTATCAATTTGCACTCTTTAACTTGAATTAGGCTGCTGTTGGAATTGCATTTGGCGTATACATAATTACTGGACTTTTGGGTATTACTTTTTCTTTTCACATAAACTTGTCTCATACAAGTTTCAAATTTCCAAAATAGTTACAACGGTTCCAACAATCAAAGTTGTGCAATTTCTCTTAATGTTCAGTTTTTTTACTTTCTTTTTTGATTATCATGGATATTGGATGGCTTAAAAGCTCTATCAATGTTCAACGTAGACTTCCATAAGTTATTAGTTAAGTTAGTTTTATGTAATCTATTGGAATTATTGTTTTTTTACAATGTGGAGTCATATCCTTTTACAATTAATTGTGATATATGTTGTCACATTTATCGGTTTTAGCCATTCTTATTGTTTCCTTTATCCTATTTCAGATAATAAACAAGGAGAACTTCCAATTACTACAACTGCGACTTCTCAAAGTCAAGGAACGGGACAACGTAGAAGGGTACGTCGTCGCAGCATTTATTCGTATAATGATTCTGACTTTAAGGCTGAAGTCATTAGGAATCTCCCAAGGCCAATACAAAATAAGTTAAGGGATCGAAGGGCTGAACGAAGGGAAAGAAAAAAGAAATTTAGAGAGCTTAGGGCTTCACTAGCTAAATATATTGAAAATTATAAGTTTACCCGAGATGCACTAATTGATGCTATTGACCAAAATATCTGATTGGAAAGCCTTAGCAATATTACTAGATTCACTTGGACAACCTTTAGGTAGTATTTTAACTGATGTTTATCACGAGATTTGGCCAAGTGAACCTTTTTGGGTTTATGTTCTTAAATTTGAAGTTGAGTGGGAGAACCGTTTGTACAACTATTTGTAATTTTTTTAATTAATGAAACTTTGTTATTTGTTTGCAACATTACCTGTCATTTTACTCTTCATTTTTTCTTAAGAGTATTACATAAAGAACATAAAGGAATAATAGTAACTTATTCCTTCAACTAATGCAATTTTAACGACATATCCAATGTGTTAAAAAGAGGATTAACATGAAGAGACAGATTAGTTCACGCTGTTTACTTGATTATATATACTTCTCATGTCAAGTAATAATTTACAATCTGTTTTGCTTATTTTCAAATCAAAATTTAATGAGGAATCTAGCTATATTTAGGTAGTTACAAATATTAATTCATCCAAAGTATACTTGCCGTAGAGTATTACTGTACAATTAAGTGTTAAAATAAACGATGAATATTTTTGTTAGTACTGTAACTTTAAAACCTTTGTTAGAAGGATATGAAACTTATGCTAGAAGGAAAGTGTTGAAAATATATTTGCACTTATCTGAGCTCTATAATTTGCTCCTCATAAAATCGAAGTGTTTATATATGAATCGCATTTATTTTGCTAAGCCAAAAGTTTAAGCTTCAATAGTGCTCAATTGTCATAGTAAGTGCAGTACTTTGAAGCTTTGAATAATTTTGGAAAATATGAAAAATGAGGTAAAAAGCTTTTTATTTATACTTTAGTTTTAGTTGTTTAACATTTCCATATTTTAGAGAAGTGCTTCTATCGAGGATAACGAAAAATTGTCGGTAGGGGTAAAGCTTAATTTTCTTTAAAAAAGTTGTTGGGAGTATTTTTTAGTAGTTACACTTTTTTTTTGGTTATACATTATTTTATACATATTTTTTCTACTGACTATTTCTCATTGGTATTAGTACTACTTGATACTATTCTGTTGAGAGATTGTCATTGGGTGGGACTAGCATGGTAAACTCGAGTGCAATAAGAGGATGATGGAGTTGAGCTACGGTTTTATTGATTCTCTCAAGACTTGGTTGATGATTTGTCCACAAGAAAATCGAGAAATTATGCAATATTTTTTGGTTGATTATTACTTCATTTCTTAAGAAAATGAGAATACCCTATTTTGGATCTCAAGCATACTTTCAAGGATGACTTTTTCAAGGTATTTTTCGGTCATTATATTTGTCATTGCACATGTTTTATTTGGTACATGCAGGACAGTCCTGCTTTGAAGGATGAAAAATGATCAAGATTAAAAAAACTATGCGGTTTGTGTTGGAAATGCTTAAAATAGAATTTTGTTCGAGTTGGGCGCCTTGATGAAGCTTCGTTTGGGACTGGAACTGAAATTTGATTTAACTGAAATTAGATTTAACTGAAATTTTGTTGTTGCCCATTCTAAGTCATGTATCTATCGTGCTTAAAGACCTATTTTTACCCTTTTAAGGCCTTAGTAAGGTTTTGCTGCTTTTTGGATTGAGACTCTTTATGGGGAACATAGGAATGCTCTTTTTTATTTTTATTTTTTTATATATTATTTATATTGAATTTCTTCTAAATTTCAGACAAGTTTTATACTTCACCTTTACATGAGTACATAAGATGAAAGTTCATATATTTATTTTTTTAATTAATTCTTTTGAATGCGATTAGTAAATTTAGTCTATAATATACGTCGGTTTTTATTATGCCTCATTGCACTATTTTTATTTGCAATGCGCGGGTACGTTTACTAGTATATAGATATAAGGGAAGTTACTATTCCAAATGTACATTGAAGAAGTCTTTAAAATTATCTTTTACGAAATAAAAAGACGGCGCCAATATCAACTTTCCCGCGCTTGCAGCACTGCAGCCAATCGCTATTTTTGCCAATTACGTACTTTTTTTAGAACTCCTTTTGGCAACTTGTGTAGTGTTTGTAGCTGCAGTCTTTGCTAGGGTTCTGCCGCTGCGCCACCACACATACGCCATGGAAATTCATCAAATTGCTCAGCTCCTCAACCAAACACTGAGCCCCGACGGTGCCGTCGTCCATGTCGCCACGGATGCTCTCGATCGCCTCTCTACTCTCCCAAACTTTCCGTTCAATCTGCTATCTATCGCCACAGGTACTCTGCATTTCCGATATATTCATAAATGCTGATTTCGTCTCACTAATTGAGGTTTTGACTTTGAAGGAGTAGTTATCCGATTATGCTTTTGCTTAATGTTGTCGTTTTGAAATTTAATTTCTGTGTTGGTTAAAAAAAATTTAATCTCTGTGCTATATTTTAAATTCGATGACCTTGGTATAGGAGGTGAGAACGAAGGTCAGAAAGTAGCTGCAGCCACATATCTCAAGAACTTCATTAGACGAAGAATAGAATCTACAGAGACAAATTTAGAAATCACCAAAGCGTTTAGAGATGCACTTGTGCGTGCTTTGCTTCAAGCGGAACCTACGGCTCTTAAAGTATTAGTTGAAGCTGTAAGCGATTTGGGCATAACTTTTTGTTCTTTAGCATGTAACTAATGACGATGTTTTAATTATCTTTTGTTCTCCTTGTTTTCAGTTTCGCTCAATCGTTGCAGTTGAGTTCGTGAAGAAGGATTCATGGCCTGAGCTTGTGCCTGAGCTGAGGTCTGTCATTCAGCGTAGCAATCTTATTGATAAGAATCCCAGTTCTGAATGGAAAACCATCAATGCGCTCACTATTCTTCACTCACTCATTAGACCCTTCCAGGTACTTTAACACGTCTCAACTATATTCTGATTCCAGGTTACTTTTTTTTTCAACCTTGGAGGGGAATTGACTCTCTAAACTGGCAACTCTTTTTTCCCAGAAATGCTGTGTTCATAATTAGACGCTTGCAGATCTTTTCCTATCATCTCGAAGTATGATGAAGTTGATTTTCATAACATGCATGGTTCCTATTTTCTTTGCTTATCTATTCATCTCATTAAGGAAATGACACTTTTGCTGTTATCTTAAGTTGTTTGTTATTCCCTCGTATTCACTTGCAATTTTTTTCATCTGTTTTCGTGTCTCAGTTCTCCATTGGCATTACACTGATGACTTCCCCTCTGTTATCTCTATTTTTTGAGCAGCTTTAGATCTGATGCGCAGTATGTTTCTTACTATGTTGAAACATATTCCTATGCTAGAACCTTGCTGGCTGTCATGTGGTACTGAGCAAGGCCACCCCACAGCTTGCTAATTGTTTGAAGATTAGTTTAAAAATTTGTAGGGTGATCAAGCATGCTTTAGGTTGAGCTTTATGAGGATAGAGTTGTTTTATCTGTGCTGCAACAACATTCTATAATTTGCTTAAAATCAAAATTGTTTTGACTGAATAGCTAACTAAACCACTTTCCTCATTTATTCCAAATCTGTACTAAAAATTTCCTTGCTAGGTTCTTGTAGTGATCTCATCTTATGTCTCATGGCAGTACTTTCTGAATCCAAAACTTGCGAAGGAGCCGGTTCCACCACAGCTAGAGCTTATTACAAGAGAGATCCTTGTACCCTTACTTGCTGTATTTCACCTCTGCATCGAAGAGGTCCACATAACTTCCTAAATTCCTCTTCCTCTACTTACTTCTATATTGGGATGTATTACTTTAAAGTATCTTAGAAGTGCTGATTCGGTGTTGCATGAAACAGGTACCAGAGGCCCAACATACAGCAGAAGTGCAGACGGGAACTATCCTTCTCATCATATGCAAGTGCGTCTATTTGGCGGTGAGGATAAACTTACAGCACATGATGTTTGACCCTTGATAGGTCAACTATCATTTGAGCTCTAGGTTCTGTTTTGATTGTTTGTCTTCAGAAGTTAGAAGACAACATTTTGGAGTCTTGGAGCCTAAAGACCTTCGAGCATATAGAAAATAACGAAAATGATAGAAGGAAATTGCTAGATACAGTTATTTAGCATTTCGAGGAGATGAAGTTGGTTATAAGTGTGAAAGTAATTCTGCTGAAAATGGGCACTAGACATGATTTACATGAGCTAAAGTGATTGTTTTTACAATGTTTCACATGCGATCTGGAAGCTTTGAAATACAAGTGCTTTTTAATACAGCTTTATGCACACAGATCTTTAGCTAACCGGAAAAAGGTGAATGATAAGCATGGATGTTCAGCTATGCCAGGACAATACATCTTGCTTCATTCAAAGAATTGGTTGTTTGGTTTACTTAGGAACAGTCTCACTTCCTTTTATTTAACCTCTTTTGGAAAAAGAAACAACAGTTTACCAAATAAGTGATCTGATGGTACCCGATGACAATGCACTATTTTTCTTTTCCAAAACTGTTCAAATTATCCGGGAGCTTTTTAAACTTGTCCTTTTATGCGTCCAATTAATATTTATCTGGAAGCACCCGTCTTATTCTAGTAAGGTTTCTTTTGTGAATATGCTTACTGTGAGCAGTATTATAATCCTAAGTCCCCATCAATTTTATAGGTGAGATCTCACATGCCGTCTGCCTTGGCTCCTTTGCTTCCTTCTATTTGTCAAGATCTGATTCGGATTCTGAATTCTTTAAGTTTAAATGATGGGTCGACTTGCAAAGATGGATATTCATTGAGGATGAAGACTGCAAAGAGAACTCTGCTAATTTTCTGTGCTCTAATCTCCAGGCATCGGAAGTTTTCTGACAAGTATGCTGCCAAAAATGCATTTTATTTGCTCCAAATGAAAATATAGAAATCCAGGTTTTCCTCAAATTTCTTCTCTTACAATGGCAGACTGATGCCTGATATGGTGAAATGCGTTTCAGAAATTGTCAAGCATAGCACAATCATCCATGTAAGTCTTACAGGCATTACTTGATAGTACTGGAAAAAAGAACTTTCGTACCAGGTGTTTCATAATATTATTTCACTGGAATGCGTAGTAAATAGTTTTTTCTTATTCAGCATGCGACCACCAGATTCTCTGTTCTTTAACTATAGTACATTTTTGTCATATAAGCAGAACATCTGCTAAATCTCAATATCTGTTTTGTCTCATGAACTTGTATGCTGTTCTCATAAGTGTTTTTCCCACACAGTTACCTTATCTCTCACTCTTTCTGTGATCATTTTTACTTTCTATCTTCTCTCTTCATTTACTTATTCATTTGGTGCAGAAACTGGATTCACTGTCAGAAAGGATTATTTCATTAGCCTTTGATGTTATTTCTCGTGTTCTAGAGACAGGTCCGGTAAGTTGTTCAGTTGTCTTCACGGTCAAAAGTTTCTCTTTTGCTTGACTAGTTTGTTGTAGCTCGACCTGGCAATGGTGCTTAATTTTCCTGCTTGTTCTTTCACCTTCTTGTTTCTTTCTCTTTTTAGGCATTTATCTTGATCCACGGTTCTCTCGAAACTGACTTTTATGGTTACTTTGGAGTCTCCAAGCTAAATTATATTATTATCATATGAAATAGGGATGGCGGCTGGTTTCACCCCACTTCCCTTCCTTGCTGAACTATGCAATCTTCCCAGCTCTTGTGATGAATGAGAAGGTGGATATTCCAAGAATTCGCCTTTAAAAGCTGCTGTCTGCCTGTATACATGAGTTTCTTTCTTTAGTTGTTGCATACTCTTTCTGAAGTTCTGATTAAAGACTTATGTCTGCTAAGTAGGACACAGCAGAGTGGGAAGAAGATCCAGATGAGTACATAAGGAAAAATCTTCCCTCAGACCTTGTGTGTACAAACCTTTGAACTTCCTTATAAGTTGTACACTCTTAGAATTTTTTAGTGTCTGAATTTTATGATCCTGCAGGAAGAAATTTCTGGATGGAGAGATGACTTGTTTACAGCAAGGAAAAGTGCTTTAAACTTGCTTGGTGTTATTTCATTATCAATGGTTAGTTTTCTATGACTTATATAGCTCCAGCTTCTTCTATTAAAATGCACATAGTTATCTATAATTTATTCTTTGACCTCTAGGGACCTCCAGTCAAGACTTCTACAGCTTCATCAAAGCGTAAGAAAGGAGATAAACATAAAAGAAAAGGTTACAGCTCGATGGGGGAGTTGTTGGTGCTTCCGTTCTTGTCAAAGTTTCCTGTTCCCACTGATAACGGAGAAAACACAGTAAATGAGTGAGTATTTTTTAACTTTGCAATAGATTGTCTTACATCACTGTACTTCAGTACCTATTTAACAGGAACCTATTCAGAAAGTTCTCCACTATTTAAAATTCATTATGATTATGGTCGAGGCTATTTGTTCTGTTATTGTTCTAAGCATCATCTTATTACTCTATAATTCTTGAACTCTAAGGTCTGCTGTGAACAAAATTATCCTACTTTGTTTTGCCATTTATGCAGACCTTTTTTTTTCTTTTTCTAACCCTCCTTGATCATGCTTGCATGCTGTCTACGAGATTTACTTTCATTCCCTTGTCTAAACTTTGACAGGTACTATGGGGTCCTGATGGCCTATAGCAGCCTTTTGGATGTAAGGAGAGATCATACTAGTAGTAGTTCAAATTGTATTTTTTCATAATTAAAAGATTAAGTACTTTTATTAATTATCTATCGTTGTATTCTCAGTTTCTAACAGAGCAGAAGCCTGGATTTGTGGACACTCTAGTCAGAACTCGGGTGCTACCACTGTATGAAACATCAGTTCCTCAACCATATTTGATTGCCTCTGCAAACTGGGTCCTAGGAGAGCTTGCTTCATGTCTTTCTGATGTATGATAGTTTTTTTGATGATACCTTCTTAACTATAAATTTGCTATTAGGCATTGTGTGGAGTAAGTTCCCTTTTTTTCTTTCCACAACAGGGTATGAGTGCTGATATTTATTCTTCATTAGTGAAAGCGTTAGCAATGTCAGATATAAGGGGTGTTTCTTGTTATCCTGTGCGGGTGACAGCTGCTGCTGCCATTGCTCAACTTGTAGAAGTAAGTGGCTAAAATGGCTCTTATTTTATGCACTTGAAGTATGATAGTGAAAATAATGCTTGTACTTTTGGTACTGCAGAATGAGTACATGCCACCTGAGTGGTTACCTCTTCTTCAGGTGGTTTGTCATAGGATTGGTGATGAAGAAGAAGATAGCTCCATTTACTTTCAGCTTCTAAGTACTATGGTCGAGGCTGGAACTGAAAAAATTGCACCTCATATTCCAGATATTGTTTGTCTGTTGGTTAGAGAAATCTCAAAGAAGTTACCTTTAGATCTGGAGCCATGGCCTCAGGTATCTTCTTATGTACAAACTCTTATGTATCTGATGTATTTGTATTTTTATTCTTTAGCAAGTCTTTTGATGATTGTAATTTTCTTTTTGGTAACTGGCATGAAAATGAGAACGTGTCTTGTGCAGATTTCAATATTTTATGGAGCTATGTGGTTCTCTATTCATTGTTTATAGTTTAAATGGAAGTCCTATAGGTTGGATTGCTTGCTTTGAAACTTCAACTTTTCTAGTCATGTTGCATATTCACATGGTTCAGAGTCATTACTTTGATAGGAATAGGACTAAACTTTATGATTCCTTCTTCTAACTGAAGTACCTTGAAACACAATCTTAAATCCTTTTTTTTATGCTGATCTGGTAATGAGTGCATAGGCGTGTCTAGATTCAACCTCGCTCTTCACCCAAATCTGAAATTAAGAAAAAACAAACTCATCCATACATATAATTTAAGGCATATTGAGATTTGAAATTCCCTAGACCCCACTTGTGGGATTACACTGGGTTTTTTGTTGTTGTTGTTGAGATTTGAAATTACTGACTTGCATCTGATAGATGGTGGAACAGGGCTTTGCATCACTAGCAGTGATGGCTCAGTGTTGGGAAGACTCTGCATCGGAAGAAAATGAGCAGGATGGTTCAAGTCAATTGTGGCGTTCTGGTCAGGCAACCATGATGAGAGCATTTTCAGATCTCCTACAGCAGGCCTGGCTAAGATCTGCTCTACGGATGGTTAGTCTTGAGCCATGTATCAAAATTAATTGTAGAGTGAATGGCTAGATAAAAACACAAGCTTGTATGCATATATAGTCCATTCTTTACTTTTTTGTCAAAGTAACATGCTCAGTACTACTTCAGCAAAATACTTCCTTTAAAAACATTATGACTGAAGCCTATTCGTGCTTATGTGTCTATATTTAAAATGCAATCACCTCAATGCTGGATGCAGCTTAAGTCTAGTGTTTATACTATAATAGTTGTATGATTTGTATTGTGAAATCCATACGAAGCTTTAATAGATTAAGCCTGTTAGCTTCTCATGCACGATCCAAAGCTGTTCATATGTTGATGGAAGCTCAGGATGGAGCCGTATGAGGCAGAAGTCTCATGTACGGTTCTCCGAGAAAGGAGCGCCACCTACTGGATCCTCGACCAAGCACGCAAAGAAGCTCCAGATATTTGATATCTTTTTCTTTGAATAAGATCCAATTCCAGCAATGGTTTCTTTAGATACCTTACAATTAGAATCCCGCTTTTTTTCTGATCCAGTTCCTCTACCAATGAGAATTCCTGTTAGATTTAGCTTGTACTTAACTGGTCAATGTCTCACTTGGGATAACAGTGTGATTAGAAGAATTTTAATATTTCTTTTGCTTTTGATGTGCTCAACTCTCTTGTTATCTTATCATATTATTTGTTGCAATTATCAGGAACTTGAGGTTGCCTTCTCAGTGCCCCCTGCATCATGTGTCGATGATTGTTCCACATTGCTTGGTTTCATTTTGCAAGGAATTACCGAAACTGACGAACTTTTGAAGCTAAAGGTCTCAGAGCTGTTGCTGGTCTGGTCAGATCTCATAGCTGATTGGCATGCATGGGAGGAGATAGAGGATTTATCTATTTTTAACTGTATCAAGAAAGCTGTTAGTCTAGACAGGAAATTTGCTTTGAAGAATTTTCTTGTGAGGAAGTTGCCGTTGCCTCCTGCTCCACCTGCTCCTAAAAAATCCATCCTTGAAGGAATTGGTGCATTCATTACAGAAGCTTTCTCACAGTATCCATCTGCAGTATGGAGGGCAGCTTCTTGTGTCCACATTCTGTTACATAATCCCAGTTACTTACCTGAAGGAGACGATTTCAAGCAATCATTGGTGATTTCCTTGTGTCACGCAGCATTTTCTCGTTTTAGAGAGCTTAGAAGCAAGGCTGTCCCTCTATGGAAACCTTTGTTGCTTGCAATAGCGTCATGTTATTTATGTTCCCCAGATATTGTAGAGAAGATTCTAGAGGGCATCGAACCCGAAAGCGTTACAGTCTTTCTATCCGCTTTGGCTATTATCTCAACAAGCAAATTTGAGCATTGTTTGTCATCAGAGTCTGAGATCAAGTTGGCTGGTTAGAATTTCTATTTCTTTTTTCCCAACTAATTTTTTTTAGTGCAATCAGAGACTTTCCTGCTTGACATTTCTCTCACAGGGCAACATATATTTTGGTGATGCCATGGCTTTACATGAGCCATTTTTTATGTTCTGGAAAATGCTACTGATGTTATCTAGATCTTTTTATCTGTCCACAACTAAAGTGTATGTTCTTATGTTACAAACTTACACTAATTATTATTAAACCTTGTAGTTCACTTTTGTGTTTTTCCTTGCTTTGCCTTTTAAATATTCAGTTTTTCCGCCATTTGTCATCAATCTTATAAAGAACTTCCTCTGAGAATCTCATCAGCAACTGTCTCTGTGTCTGCTTTTTTTTCCTATTTTACTACCAGTGATGACACTCGCACAATCTCTTGACAAGCTGATAGAACAGCCAAATGAAGGGAGTTTGTTGCTACATGATTGCGTTGCTTCACTGATGGAAGCATTTCTGAAGTTANGAAGTGACTATGAGTCTTTACATTCACGAGAATTCCTTAGCCTTCTGACATGAGTTTTGCCTCATTAGCAAATTATGGCTCTTCACTTAATTGTGGTCCTTCCATGTAAGTTGAAATTTCTCATATTTCACCAGCTTTCTTAATGGAAATACATTTTTCTTTTCATAACATAACATATTGCGACTCGAAAATGATGATTATCACTGCCTTTTTCTTTTTCATAATCACCTTGTCCTTAGTGTTTATATATAATATCACAGAAATTGTCAATGATTTCATATTGTTGTCTCTTTGCGTTCATTATCCGTGGTTTCTGTTTGTTGGCTCCATCATACAGGCATGAAAAGCATGTAGTGGGAGTAAGGAATAGTGAGCATATGCTATACATTCATCATATATCAGAAACTTTTGATAAGTAAAATGGAGATGCGGAGTACAAACCCCAAACCTCTCGCATGCTAAGCGAGTGTACATTCATAACATAAATTACATCTTATAAAACCTTTGCAATAGATAACGAAAGATGATTGTTATTGTTCATAATTCAATGCTAGGACTCCGAAGATGATGAACTCGAAGAAACTGAAGAAGAGTTCTTGGAGAGATGCGCCAAGACAGCCGTAGAAATGGAAAACGGGACCATTGTGGAAGAAGGAGATGTAGAAGATCAAGAGCGAGGAATTGAACTGGGTAAGCCTGCCAACGCTCTCATTCTTGAAAATACCATAAGGATGCAGACATTTGATGTGCAGGGTAAAATAGATTACTTATTTAGCTGTTTATAAAAGTAGAGAAAATCAATCTCTCCTGGTTGTTTATAGAAGTAAAGAAATCGATCAACTTTTCATTTCTACTGCTCATTAAATCAGCAACATTATTTTGCTTACTGTGCAATCATAATGATTTTTATCTTGGTTCACAAGATGATCTACTTGTCAAAGTTTGAAATTGTCGTCAAAATTCCTAGATGTACCAAACAGACTGAATCAGTGTCATGTTGACAATATCTTCTGTAGATTATCACATTTAAACGATGCTGCTTCAGCGGCTCTTCTCTCTCAAGTTTCAATCAATTAACTATACCTCAATCTCAACATTGTCGTAGTTGGGTACTTGCATCTTTTATATCCATTGAGCTCAGCTAACACAATTAAATAAGGATTAATCACATCCTAGTTGAGGTTGACAACTTAAGTATTTGAGTCTTCTTTTACTGTGTTTAATATCATCCGCATTGATGTTCATTTTTAGATTTCTATTGCTTTGTTTCCCTTAAATTTCTTCGATTACTTCAGGTTGTTTGGAAGATGTGGATCTGGAGAGCACTGTGCTTTCGGTAATTGAAAGACATCACCAAGTGCTTTTACGGCTGCAGTTGCCACCAGAACTGACTTCAAGTTTCTTGGAGGCCTTTCCTGAATGTAAATTATACTTCCAACAACCTCAGCTATAGGATTTCATACATGCTCTTCGCATTCCTCTTTTTATATTCGGTGTGCCTGTTGGTGGTTGATTATTTTGTTTATTCTTGTATTTGCCCTGCTGTTGTGCTGAAGTTGGGATGTTCTATGTAAAAGTCTCATAACTATTGGAGTGCCACTCGGAGTCATTTGTATTTATCACACATCTTTGTCATAAAGCTGCAGTTGGTCCAAAAGATTGAATAGGTCAACAGTGAAAGAGAAGTTAAATTTGGGAAGTTCAGATCTCCTAAACATGTATCCATTTTGTTCGAATTAGTTTGTCCCCAAGTAGAAATGGTGTTCTTTTTACTGTAAAAGAAATTTATTGTTTGGCTTTGGTGAGCTTTGTTGGAGTGTCATTTTTTTCTTTGCGCAAAAGAATCTATGCTTTATACTGATTTGCAACACAACGTAACACTAGCTAATACATTGCCGTGCAGTTGATGTAAACTTTAACTAATTGTTGCAACTGGCGATCATCAAAATCAGGTCAGTGTATTCCAGTATGCATCAAGTGGCCTGTTATTTGTTCGGGAAATTGTTTTTTTGTCAAGCATAATACCTATTTTCTTTAGGTTTTGTAGTTTTCAATAAGTATCTAAATTTTTCTAATAAATTGTATATATTCCCCCCTTAAAAGACTCCTACCCCGTTGCATTCAATAAAGGGATTCAATTAAATCCTTTCCTTTTTTTTTACCCTCTCCTCTCTCCTCTCTTTTTTTTCCCTTTCCCTAATTTCTTCAATTTGCTTGCCTAGCACACTCATCCACAATTGGTCCATTCGAAGACCAAAAATACATATGATTCTCGAGCATACATACATACAATTTCGGGTTTTAATATTTTGTAATTTGTTCGGATTTGATGTTCTTGCAAGTGATTGAGAATATACGTTGGAGTTTATATTTTAATTTTGAGGTAGATTGGTTAAGTATAGAGTTGGTTTTAGCTGAAAATTCAAATTGATACTTGAAGAAGAAGAAGTTGCAGGAATTGTATGATAATTGTATAATAATTGTATCATAATCATATCAAAATTGTATCTACATCAATACCTAAAATATAATTGTATCATACTTGTATCTAACTTGTATTTGATACATTACTATCTAAAACAATACCTGATAAAATACTAACACAATTCCCATACATTTGTGATACAAATTGCGATACTTTTCTGAAAAATTGTGATGCAATTGTGATCTTGATCTCATTCAAGTTTCAATCACAACTCTCAACTTAAAATCTAATATAATAGTTGTATTACAATTGTATTAGTATAGTATCAGATATTATTCTAGGTATTAATGTATCATATGCAAGTACAATATAATTTAAATATAATTGTGATATAATTCTAAAATAATTGTGATACATTTACTATACAATTCCTGCAACTTCGTTTTCTTCGAATTTCAATTTGAAAATTTACGTAATGTAATTCTGAGAAATTATGATACAATTATGATCTTCATCTTTTTCAAGTTTCAATCACAACTCTGAACTTAAAATCTAATATAACATGATATTATAATTGTATTAGTATTGTATTCGGTATTGATTTTTCATATACAAGTCACATATAATTTTGAAACAGTTGTGATATAATTCTAAAACAAATCAGTTAGGGTGTAATTTTTTCTTGAAAACAAAAAATAAAAAAATTAGACCAAAATTGTGGAACTCTAGCTAGGTTGCATTTCAATTCTTGCCCCGTCTCTTGGATTTCTCAAACCACAAAAATACCCCTTCTTGCTCTTAAAAAAATTAAAAAGCTAAGGTCTGTTAGCTTCGGGGACAAAAATCACGCATCTTTTTCAATCAAATATCAAATTAGATGTCAAGTTGAACAACACGAGGATTAAACTAGAAAAGTGCATTAACTTTCGAACCAAAATAATTGTTTGTGTGAAAGAAAGAGAGGTTTTAGTTAATTTGTATGAAAGAGAGAATGATTTTGAAATCTTTTGAAATTGGAAAATATCGTGATTGTTGGGGGATAATTAAGCTGATAAACGTGGGGATTTTGGAGGGGGAGGGGGGATGGTTTAATCCCTAAAATTAAGGGATCTTTCTTTTATCAGGTATATAAATAGTAAATATAGATACATAAAGTAATTTTTGTGGAACCTAAATAAAAGTGGTAAATAAATTTCTGATATAGTATAGCTAGATAAAAATCTCAGTATGAAACTCAAATATTTTCAAGCGTCTATATTTTATGGAGAACTACTATTAATGGTATTGTCTTTTAGCTATTAAAACTCATATAGTCTAGACTTGGTCTGACGCTGTTCCTAGGAAACACAAAGCAGATCGCACATCATGTGACTTGGTTGTAACTGGTGTTGTAATATTTTCACGACCCCAATCTCCCTCCGTAGGATGTCGTGATGGCATATGGTCTCTAAGACTAGGTAAACCTAACATACATGAAGAAATAACAGAAATAATAAAAAAACTTCAATCTAAACCAACCGGCTATCATAAAATAATTCCATAACACAGCTAACAATAACTCCCAAAATCTAGTGAGACTGAGTCATAAGCTCTACACAAGTATACTGAAACATCCCTAACACATGAAAATCTATAATAAGAGTATACAACAGAAACTAAGATAGAGGATGACTCCGAGGCTTGCGAACACCGGCAAGTATACCTTGAAGTTTTCGATCCAAGCTCAACTCACATATGCCTAGCCTGGTGTGAAGTACATGGATCTGCACAAAAAGATATACAGAAGCATATTATGAGTACACCACAACGATACCCAGTAAGTATCAAGCCTAACATCAGTAGAGTAGTGACGAGGTCAGGACAAGACACCTACTGGAATAAATAAAGAAGCTGAACAAGTATGGTACAATATAATAATGGAAACAAGGAAATGAAACAATGAAGAAATACATTAAGATAAGCTACACCGAAAGTTAAGGCAATAAAGGCATCAAGGGAGGAAAACACATAATAAGAACACCAACAACCAAAACACAAATGATGTAAATGAAAGATAACAACAAGAATCATGTCCGAGGTATCGTTTCGTATCACATTTCACAATCACAATTACAATCTTTCCTTATATCACCACGGGAGCCTTACTTTTAGTTTTTAAAAATTATTTTTTCCAACATACCTACCCGCGTTTAGCCCACCTTATCACACCACGTGGCTTCAAGCAGTTCCCCTGCTAGCAATACGCGTATCAAGCCCACCTTATCTCATCGCATGCGTATCAACCCCTATCATTATACCACCGCATGCGCATTAATATCACAACATATCACAAATCACACCTCAAGTGCCTAATACCCCAACTTGCCAAAGAAGTCAACAATAACAAATTTATTTACAATAAATAGCCGATGTCTCAATCACAATGTGTACAAGAGTCTCAACAATAGTAACTGAAAGTGAATAGCTCAACAATAATGGTATTTCACCAATTTACAATTTTGCCTCAATGTGATCACGACTTTTACAACTTCAACACCAAAACTCAACAATAAGATATTCCAAGAAATAGTAACTTCAAGTAAGGTAACTCAACAGTTAAATATTTAACAACGCAATGAGAAAACATTAACTTCAACTAAGCATATAAGGGAAAATAACAAGTAAGAGATGAGAAAAGTATTAGCAATGTCAAGTGAATCATGTAAGGATAGATTAACGATGATGAATATAACATGTTATGACAACTCAGTTAAAGGCATGAAAAGAATCTACATAGCTTAACCCGGTCAGTTACCACATTTAGCCTGTGTAGCCACTCGTTATCTTGCGTACACGGCTTTCACGTACCACAATTAACATAAAACATCAATCCTAAGGGGTAATCTCCCCCCCAAAAGTTAGGCAAGATACTTACATCAAAACATGCTAACTCAATCCACTAGTAAGCCTTTTTCGCGAATATCCAACTCCGAACGGCTCGGATCTAGACAAAATAACTTTATACCATAAATACAACAACAACCCAGTAAAATCTCACAAGTGGGATCTAGGGAGGGTAGAATGTATGCAGACTTACCCCTTACCCCAGAGGGGTAGAGAGGCTATTTTCGAGAGACCCTTAGCTCAAGAAGACGAAAATAATAGAATCTGTGACAACAAAAAGAATCAGAGAGATAATATTAACATCGTAGGAAACAGAAAATGGATAGAAAAGCAATAACAACAACTAGTAATAGAGTCACCGTACTATGAAACAAAACGAAAAAATAGTGTGGACACAAACTTACACCACTAATAACCCAAAGACAACATCCTAACAGGCTAGCCCCGCCCCCAATACGAAGTAAGAAAAGCGCTCGACTCCCTCCTAACTATCCACTCTAATACTCGATCTCTACACCTTCCTATCTAGAGTCATGTCCTCAAAAATATGAAGTCGTACTATATCTTGCCTGACCACCTCGCCCTAATACTTCTTAGGCCGCCCTCTACCTCTTCTCATACCCGTCAAAGCTAACCGCTCACACCTCCTAATCGGGGCATCTTGGCTTCTCCTTCGCACGTGCCTGAACCATCTAAGCCTCACTTCCCGCACCTTGTCATCTATTGGATCCATACCCACCTTCTCCTGAATATCTTCATTCCTAATCTTATCCAGCCTAGTGTGCCCCCACATCTATCTCAGCGTCCTCATCTCTGCTACTTTCATCTTCTGGATATGGAAATTCTTGTCTGGCTAACACTCATCCCCATATAATATGGCCGATCTAACTATCGTTTGATAAAACTTTCCCTTAAGTTTCGGTGCCACCTTCTTGTCACACAGGGCTCCAGATGCTAACCTCCATTTCATCCACTCCACCCCAATACATGTGTGACATCCTTACCAATCTCCCCTCCCCCTGGATGATTAACCTAAGGTACTTGAAACTTCCTCTCTTAGAGATGACTTGTGAGACAAGCCTCACGTCCAAATCTGCTTCCCTCGTCACATCGCTGAACTTGCACTCCAGATATTTTGTCTTAATCCTACTTAACTTGAAACCTTTAGACTCAGGGGTCTATCTCCAAACCTCCAGCATCTCGTTAACGCCGCCCCGCGGCTCATCAATCAGAACTATATCATAAGCAAACAACATATACCAAGGTACCTCCCCTTGAATATCGTATGTGAGTGCATCCATCGCCAAGGCAAATAAGATCGGGCTAAGCGTAGATCCTTGGTGCAACCCCATCCTGATAAGGTAGATAGGCTCTGTAGTCGAACGACCCGACATGAACCTGAATTGGTTGTCAGAAATAGACACTGTCCTCCTCAACCTTCCTTTCACCACCCTCTCCCAAACTTTCATAGTATGACTTAGTAACTTGATACCCCTA